TTTTTCAGACTTGTTGTTGTATGAGTGAGTGTTATGCCGCTCCCCTGATTTTGTGCCCCATTGGGAATACTCCATACACAACAAATTAGTTGTATATAAATCCATTCAATTCACTGCATGAAGGTGATAGAATTTTTGGGTCCTCTCCAGTCAAGGGTCGGCACTTGAGGTGTGGTGTCCGCAAAGCAGTCAACACAACGTACACATTAATTTCACGCCTAGGTCGTTATAACAAAATGCATTTAAAGGTAGATTATTCAGGTTTCTTCAAGATGATCTTGCTTATATAACTCTATCTATAATATTAATCTGTTATTGTGGTGACGAATTCGTACGCATGTCAGCAGGATCATCCCGAATCCTCGCCAAACGAGTTCCACAAGAAGGTTGATCATATTCGCTTCTTATCAATTTTGTGATGGAAGTTTTATACAGTGAGTTTTTTCAGATCTGCGAGGTGACAGAGGACGTTCAAGACTGGGAAAATCATCTAGTACTACGTGTCCCTAATGATGTCGCTTCGAGGGTGAGATCTGGAACTTCCTACCTGTTTCATATATTGCTACATTGATTATTCTAAGAATGATTCTGCTAGTTTTTCAAGGCTTAGAGCCATAGCTTACAGTAACTTTGTCGAACAATGTAAAGTGACAAGCTTTATCAGTAAGCCTCCCTTCCGTGCGTAAGCTTTGCGTTCTCCCTCTTTCCCTCCTGCTCTCCCCCCTCCACTGCTCTCCAGCTGCCACTGCAGCACCTTGTGGAATGACCGGAAGTGTGCTAAGCAGGTGTTTATATAGCCCTTGGAGTGTTATCACAATCATGCCATTGCAAAACATTGATATCTCAAATCCTGTAAGCTACCCAGATTTGTTAGCGGTTTGTTTATTCCATTAGCTGCCTTCATCACTCACTTCATTTTGCGGACGACAAACAGACAAACTTACAAGCCCGTCTTCGATGGTATGGTCATGTCCTTCGCGCGAAAGATGACAGTGTCGTAAGATCGGTCTCAACCTTGACGTGCCCGGAAAGCGGCCTAGGGGCGCCCGAAGCAGCGATGGCTCGATACGTTGCACGTAGACTTGAAGTCAGTTAACATCCACCCCGATCAAGCATTTAATCGGGAAAAGTGGCGTCAACACATCAGAAAAGCGGACCCCGCCTACAAGCGGGACAGACGCTAAAGAATAAGAAGAAGAAACTGTAGTTAGTGGTGCAAGAATTGAATTCGGGTAGCCCGGATTATTAGAGGTGGCAGCTAACAGATTTCTAACCCGTTGTTCTTTCCTTAAGGAGTTGTACTTAGCGCACAGTTAGCTTTAAAACGGATACGCTCACGTATTTGTTTTGATTCACTCTTAATCCCTCCCAACTCTCTTGTGACAGCAGCTGGAGACAAGATTCCTCTTTGGTCGTACATTTCGACAGCGTTGGATACAGTAGATGTTGTTTTCCTTTGAGAACCGCACTCAACACCTATCTGTGTGTATACCTGACACGCGTTATCGAGTCATGAATATTTACCTATCGTTGATGATTTACTAGTTTGCGCCAGAAGCAAGCCAGCGTTGAGCATAAGTTGAAAAATTTCGAAATGCTCCCTTCAGACCTCGAAGACGACGAATCAGTCGAAACGCGGCTCAATGAAAGCTTCTAGAAAAAAGAAGACTAGAAAGAACCTGTTCCGCACAGAAAGTTGTCTGCTGTCTGAACATATGTACCAAGGTTTCAAGAAAACTTGAGAATACGATCTGCAGTTCTAACATTTTCCTATCACATTTCAGGAGAACGATGAAGGAAGATTTAACTATAAATGCAGTGTTCGTAATACATCACTGTACTTCCATGAATGATTTTTTTCACTTCATAAGGAGATTTGAAGATTTGAAGAAAATTTGGTAGTTTCCTGAAACGATTCCAACCTTACTTATTTTATGTGGAATGTTTGTAGTACCTCTATTCAAAGAGTGAAATTTAATGTCGCCTCGATTCCCTCCCTTCGACCGAGACGAAGTGGGCCAACTAACAGTGTGTCCCAAACATTGTTCACCCTTTTGTGCCTTAGGAGTAGTGCCTCGGACGGGTGACTATATAAATTCACTACACCTGAAATAAGAGAAAACTGGAATTTTACCTAATTCTTTTGGAAAACCTGGCCTTCCAAAAGTACAGGGCTCATATGGTTCCTCTGCTTATGTTCCTCTTGAGATAGTCGTAAAAATGAATTCTTATTGCTCTCCCTTTCTCGTGTGTTCTACAGTGCCAAGGGAGGTGCAATACAATTATTGGAGTGGGAAAGTGCAAATTGAGGCCTACAATGATGTTGCAGTAAGTGACCACAGCGTCTTGAAAAAATGTGAGTTCTCAACCTCTCAACTTTACCAGAAAAATCTGCTACAATATGGAGCCCTACGGCATGAGTAGGAAAAACTATAACATAGCATTGAATAAGCTTCGTGAGAAGCAGAGGTGCAGAATCCTCAATCATCACCCTATTGTGCAAAGACAGTATTTAATTATTTCATGTGTACCAAATGCGCGCAAGAAGCCATGAGTATGTTTGGTCAAGGGGAGCATTGGGTGGGCGCACCAACGCATTGAAATGATTTTCAGTAATCATTTCTTCACCGTATACAAAACTTCAAGGCGTTGTAAGTGGTTTTTTGGACGAAAAACCTGATCTGTACCAACGGCGTAATAAGTTTTATGCATGACTTGGGGAGGAACCCACACTTCC